TGCAGCCCGGGCACATGTGCTCCGCTCTGATCCTCTTCCTGATGTCTTAGAAACTTATGCTATGATTTGTGAAGAAGATGTCTGACTAAAAACCATGTGGAGTGAAGAGAAGACTAGTGGAAGTGCCATGGCTGCACGCAAGGGATTCCAAGGACCAGATCGTACTTCTTTTGCACACCCACCTAAACCAGCTTCTACTTCAAAACCAGTCATTGAGAGATCCTCTGCACCATTACAGCCCTCTGTCAAGCACAATGGATCGTCTCCTACTAAAGATGAGCAAAAATGTACTTATTGTGGTAAAAACCATACTATTGATAAGTGTTGGAAACTTCATGGACGACCTGCATGGGCTGATGATTTGATTGCCCAGAAACATAGAAGCAGTGCTGCTCATGTCACCACTCAAACCACTGGGGATGAATCAGGTGATGTAACCACTAAGGAGGCCAAGCAAGGTAAATTTAGTTATGCTTTATGTACTTCTACTTCTGCTTGTGTTAGTGCATGGATAGTTGATACTGGAGCACTTCAAGCTAAAATGAAGACCATGCCTCCTGTCACTAACCTTCCTCCAAAGGTGTTTGGGTGTGTTGCCTATGTTCATGTACTTCCTCATCAGCGAAGTAAACTCGACCCATGTGCCATCAAATGTCTTTTTGTGGGTTATGCTTCCCATCAGAAAGGCTACCGTTGTTATCACCCGCCTACTCGCAAGATGTTTGTTACTATGGATGTCACCTTTCATTGTTATTTTCAGGATCTTCACACTCAGGAGGAGGTGGGTCGTGGTTTTAGGAGAGGGGATTTATGGTACTTTCATGGTTCAAATTCAGACATTGTTGCACATCAAGCTAATAAGCAAGTTTTGGAGAATGAGAAGATGATTTGGTTGTGGCATCAACGGTTAGGACACCCATCATTTGGATATTTAAAGCACCTTTACCATCTTTGTTTGCTTCTTGTATTAAAGAATTCAAATGCTCTACTTGTGAGACTTGTATTTTCGCCAAAAGTCATCGTACTATTTTTTCCTCGAGCGATAACAA